ACACCAACTGATAGATTTCATCAACACACACAAACACCAACTGATAGATTTTATCAACACACCCAAACACCAACTGATAGATTTCATCAACACATCCAAACACCAACTGATAGATTTCATCAGCACGTCCAAACACCAACTGATAAATTTCATCAACACACCCAAACACCAACTGATAGATTTCATCAACACACCCAAACACCAACTGATAGATTTCATCAACACATCCAAACACCAACTGATAGATTTCATCAACACACCCAAACACCAACTGATAGATTTCATCAGGGGTCATCCATAAATGACGTCATACTCGTAGGGGGGAGGGGTGGTCCGTAATTTTGTGACGATGTGTGATGGGGGGAGGGGGGGGGGGGTCAGATGTTGCGACGTCACACTTTTGCATTATAAAAAAGCAATGTTAGACAACGAATTTTAGACGTTATTTCGCGTTTTAGATAACTGTTTTAATAAATTGTAATAGTTTAGACAAGATTTTGGAAAAATATCGATGTTTAAAAAAAATTCAACTGCAATTTTGAGGGGGTTTGTAGATTGAGGTGTGACGTTATTTTAGGGGGGGGGGGTCTGGCTTTTTGTGACGACGTGTGACGGAGGGGAGGGGGAGGTAAAAATGGCCAAAAAAAAGCGTGACGCCATTTATGGATGACCCCTCAGCACGTACACAAATCTCCGCAGTACCAAACAAATCCCCCTCCCCCCCCCACCCCCCCCCCCCCCAGACACAGAGTTAATGTATGCTGGTCACGTGTCTGTCTCGTTAGCTCGGTTGTCACGTGACTACCCCTGTTATTGACTTAGTTAATACAGTCACGACATAGCGTTAAGCTTTGGTCAACTGACCGTAAGTAGGGCACCGTCATGTATTTTGGACATCTCACTTCAGTCCTGTAGCCCCTGGCTAATCCTCTAATACGTGCGCCCCACCCTCAGCCCTACCATCGGCCCCACCGCCAGTACTTTAACCGGCCCCAAGATGTTTGTCTTTAGCCTGAAACCGCCCCCCCCCCCCCCAATGTAACCAAACACCCCACCCCCACCAATGTAACCAAATACCCCCCCCCCCACATTAATATAATACCCCCCACCAATGTAACGGATCCCCCCCCAACAATATAATCAACCCCCCACCCCCACCAATATAACCCCCCCCCACCCATGTAACCAACGAACCAGACCGAGTCATGGCTTGTGCTGTGTGACCAGAATTTAAAACGAGCGAGGTCGTCTTTTCAGAGTGAGTCGATTAAGTTTTGTGTGCTGGGAGACTGTAGGGAAAGTACTGCTGGTGTTAATAATGTACCAGCCGTCCCGGCCAGGCTCTGCACTGGCCTCTGTAAATGACCGTGACTTATGTGTTTATTAAGTAGTATATACCCGGCATTGCCCGGGTTTAAGAATATGTTACTTTTTAAATTAACTTTATCCACTAACAACCAAAATACCAAAAAAAAACATAACACAAACGCAAACCCAAACCCAAACAAAAAAAACACAAACACAAACGCAAATATAAAAAGAAACCTAAACGCATACAATAACTCAAAATAATGCAAAAGTAAACGCGAACATAAACACAAACTTAAATGCAAAAACAAACGCAAAGTGCTCACAGTCTATCCGGGGCGCCAAAATCGCACCCTGCTGGGGCGCTGGCGGAACCGCCTGATTCAACTTAGTAAACGACTATAATACCCCAACTTATTCATAAACTTTTTGCACTCACTTAAACGAACGTAGGCGGCATAGCGAACACGGGAAAGCACGGGGCGCCAAATAGCACTCTGTTGGGGCGCCAGATGACGCCCTGGATTCGATTTAGTGAAGGACTTTACTAACCCTTCTTATCCATAGTCTATCCGTAGCCTATTGCAATGTATAAAACGAGTATATGCGCTATAACGCTAACGGAAAGCACCGGGGCGCCAAATAGCACCTTGTCGGGGCGCCGGAGGATGCCCGGATTCGATTTATATAAGGACTATAGTAGCATTTCTTATCCATAATCTATCCCACTGTTTAGAACGAACGTATGAGCCATAGCGCCCACAAAATAGCCCTGGGCGCCAATTCGACCCCCGCCGGGGCGCCAGCAGCCGTACCTGATTTGATTTAGTGAACGACTATAATATCCCCAGCTTGTCCGCAAACCGAAAGATAGAAGTAAACATAGAGGACATTTAGGAGTGGCTTCTGGAACGTATTACAGGCATTTCATGTCATTCATTAAAAACAAACTACTTAGAAATACGACAATTTGACAAACGAGCAATATTAAACGATTATTTTAACTCGTATATTTTAGTTATATACATTGAGATGTTGTATATTTACGCTTTGTAAAAACGAATCTGTAGCTTCCATATTTAAGCTGTTATGTTTGGTAAAAAATCAATAACACACTTAACTATTTGCCATATGGTTGGTAGTTTTCTTAAATTTATTTTAAAATCCAGTTTTAAGAGATAGTATCTAAATAAGCTAACATTCGATTCAATTTTGGAACTCGATAAAATTAAACATTGAATTATTCACTCAAAGATCTAGATTTAGACGCCGATTAGGCATTTTTTTAAACTACGCACATTTCTTTCTAATCCTCTAACACAATCTTACGTTAACAAGGGAGGCTAACGCATTAAAAATTAACGTCATGAATCCCTGTTTACCTCCCCGTTTGGACTTGGCCCACTGTACAGTCTGGCGTCTAGCCGACAAACTGCGGCCCTGGAGCTGCCTGTGGCTCTATAAATAATTAATTGCGGCTCTTTTCAACAGGTATAAAACATTTGAATGCCAAAGGAAATGGTCTTTCAATGTGAATTTTAAAGTGGGTTTTTGTTGTTGTCTGAGATATCTCACATGAGGTAATCTTTATGAGATATTTTGCATGACAAAATTTCTCAGATATTTTTTTGAGATATTTTTTCTAAGATATTTTGTTTGATATATTTTGACTGAGATATCTTGACTGAGATTTATTATTTCGTCTGAGAAATGTTGTCATGGCACCTCAATTATACCATGACCTTCTGATCCACGTGACCTGGAGAGATATGACATGACCTTCACCCTTTATTTAAGAGCGTTACCAGATGTTGGCTTACTTGGAGACTCTTAAAGTTTGATAGAGTTCGAGCCTGCAGAAATGGTTTAGAGTTACAAGATTTGAACAAAACCCCATACAAATACATTGAAAACCAATAAAAACTAGTCTCAAAACACTTTGAAATAACTTTTTGGAGCTACAACTTAATTGGATATTAATTATTTCTTAACTGACCGAAGGAAGGATAACCTTTGAGCAGGTTGTTCTAGCCAGGTTTGAGCAGGTTGTTCTAGCCAGGTTTGAGCAGGTTGTTCTAGCCAGGTTTGAGTAGGTTGTTCTAGCCAGGTTTGAGTAGGTTGTTCTAGCCAGGTTTGAGCAGGTTGTTCTAGCCAGGTTTGAGTAGGTTGTTCTAGCCAGGTTTGAGTAGGTTGTTCTAGCCAGGTTTGAGCAGGTTGTTCTAGCCAGGTTTGAGCAGGTTGTTCTAGCCAGGTTTGAGTAGGTTGTTCTAGCCAGGTTTGAGTAGGTTGTTCTAGCCAGGTTTGAGCAGGTTGTTCTAGCCAGGTTTGAGCAGGTTTACCAGTTGTATACCGTCAATGTACTTTAACTTCAATTAACGTTATATAAATCAATACCAAAAAGTAAAGGGATTTTAGTAATCAATGAACCAGCTCACCACCTATTTCTCTACTTCATATTACTTTAGCTTTTTGCTTACACATTACTTTGTCTAGTATTTCAATTCCTCAAGTCAGTTTGTGTGATAATATTTTGGTATTTTATTACTAGACCTACTAGGTGGCATGAGATAATTATTTTTCAATATGTTAATAATCGGCTGTCCAACTTAATTAACTGGACCTTCGTGCTCGTGCAGGCCACGTGAAACTGTGTACATGTGATGATTTTATGACACGAAATACACGTGTAGTCTTATTATTATACAAGTTGTTTATTCTACCAATCTTTAGGTACTTTTTTCTCATTTTTCCAGTTTTGTTTATTATCTAGCCTACACATTTTCTTTCTCCAGAAAGATCGTTGCATTTCTTTAATTTGTGTTTAAATGTTGAAAACTGACCCGCGAGAAAAAGAGGCGTAGCTAGGGGAGGGTGGGTGGGGCGACCGCCCCGGGCGCCGACCTAAAGGAGGCGCCAAATTGGGTAAATAAAATTACTTTTTTAAATATTTAAAATTTTTATTCTGAGCTTCATCAATAAATGATACACAGTAGAAGTTTAAAAATAGACCTGGTTTGCTTTCCTGACTAAATTAACTGTTTTCAATTTTGTGACAAGGGAGAGTAAATAGTAAAATGGGGGGGGGGGGGGGGGGGGGGGATGCGATTTCCTCGCCTTGGTTCAGTTCTCTAGTGAGCCTAGCTGGTCTGTACGTTGAAGTATTAACCTGTTATATAATGCTGTAATATCTTAAACAATTTATCATAGACAGTGGCGTCGCTAGGGCGGGTGTCACCCGGTGCGGCACTGCGTGGTGTCACCCCCCCCCCCTCAAGAAGTAAAGTTTATATATATATATATATATATATATATATATATATATATATATATATATATATATATATATATATATATATATATATATCTGCTCTAGCAGATTTTTAAAAACTATTTTCACACAGCGAAAGGGAAATAATACAACAAATAAAGACATGCCTTAACGTTTTTACTTCCCTTTTGACATAAAATAAATTTTGATTATACTTTATTACAATTATCTTTTTAACGATTTTTAAAAGATTGTGATATTGATTCTAGTTTCACTCATAATCTTCACAAGGAAACTATTAATGCATTTAAATAATAGACTATTTGATGGATCTAAATATTGAGTAATTTTACTTTTATCATGAAAACATAAATAATACAAGGGAAGTCACTCTCAAAAATGTTATTTTGTTTACCTTGAACTTCTTGTGTTATGAAACAAGTGCGTTTCTACTTCTAGCCAAACATTGAACATTAGTTATAATTTCTAAGATTTCTTCACATCATCCCATTGTGACAGTGCAGTCTTGCGACTTCAAGAAACCAAACATGAGTATTTTAGTTGGTAAGGCCCAGTACACTAAGTTAAAGTAAGGCAAGGTACTCGGCTTCTGTTTTCTAAATTTTCAAATCGGCATATCTTCACAGATCTTAGTAGATCTATCTAGATCTAGATCTAATATCTAGATCTAGATCTAAATCTATTCTAGATCTAGATCTAGAATAGATTCTAGACTAGCTAGATTCTAGATCTAAATCTAGAATCTGATCTAGATTCTAGATCTAGTTGTTTACTTGTTTGTTAAGGTCCTAAGACCTAAGGACTAAGGGCCGCTAAGGTTATCGTGGTGTTTGCTAGACCCAGGCCTAGATTTTAGGGTAAAATCTTAGTTTAGCGTCGTAAATTCGGCCAAAACTAGTAATGTAGGAGAGAGTGCATTAATGAATATGTCATTAAATATGAGTATTTTTTCGTATATTTTGATAAAATATTATAAATAATTGAATAATAGATCACCATTTATGGTTAAATCAATTTAAATATCCTGAAATTAATTTTTATCAACCCTGTTCGAGATAGTAAATTTGCTATTAAAAACAGCAGCCATCTTAAGAAAATGTTATTTAGAGTAGCTTCCCTTTCATTTCTATTCGTATGAAAATGTATTTAAATATGATTGTCTTGTTGTATAGTCCGTATAAGCGTATTACAAAGCATTTTTTTTTTTTAAATTCTGCTCTTTAAAAACTGAATTTCCTAACAAACAACTTTATTAATTCTAGAAGCATTGTGAGATGCAACTTGTATCCATGTTTTAAATCACGTTTTTTTTTACGATTGTTTAGGCCTATTTGATCTTACTATTACTATATAGTTTGCGTTTTTTCTTATTGTTTGAATGTTCACTATTTTCATTTCAGGGTTTTCTTTTCATCAATTAGTGATTCTATCGTAACTTATGGCATTTTTTACTTCTCTTTACCTTAATTAAACCCCAACCTCCGTCATATTGTTGTTGTCAATGTCACAACAAGTCATAAGGGGTCATCCATAAATGACGTCACACTCGTAAGGGGAAGGGGGGTCCGTAATTTTGTGACGATGTGTGATGAGGGGGAGGTTCAGATGTTGCGACGTCACATTTTTGCATTATAAAAAAGCAATGTTAGAAAACTAATTTTAGACGTTATTTCGCGTTTTAGATAACTGTTTTTAATAAATTGTAATAGTTTAGACAAGATTTTGGAAAAATATCGATGTTTAAAAAAAATTCAACTGCAATTTTGAGGGGGGTTGTAGTTTGAGGTGTGACGTCATTTTAGGGGGGGGTCTGGCTTTTTGTGATGACGTGTGACGGACGGGAGGTAAAATTCGTCAAAAAAGCGTGACGTCATTTATGGATGACCCCTAATGTAAAAAATTACGCTTCGCTCTGCCTTATCTAAGATCTCTAGCCATAATTTTGACAACAATAAATGTTCGTCATCATTTATATATACAGAGAGACAAAATGTATTATCCACCAGCTTCCCTCGTAAAGCATCATCTAAAATAATCAGCCACTCCACCCATTAAGTGCGTGTTGTCATTATGGTCGATCGCAAGTCTCCACCTGCCAGACACATTTTGGTTATCCTTTGTTGTCAAAATGTCAATATCAAGTACCCAAGTGAGTGATATGGGGTTGTCCATAAATGATGTCACACATGATTTGCTACGGGAGTGAGTGAAGATTTGTGACGTCAACTCAGGCGGCTCCGCAATTTATGACGTGTCGGTCTCATGAAAGGAGGTGAACGGGGAAAAATACCTATGTGGTTGATGGAGAACCTCTATAATGCTTTGTTCAATCAAAATAACGATAAATAAGCATTAGTATACGTATACCTTGCTTAAAACGAATCATCACAAATGTTGCAAGCCTGCTAGTTTAAGACATTTGGCAAAACGGCCTTAACTTAACACATTATCCCCGTCAAAAAGGCTTGCCACCAAATGCCTGCCGACGAATAAGCCGCGTCGATTGAGGGGCGTTAGGAATACGGCCATTAGCATTCGCCGCGTTAGAGCACCAGTAGGCTATCGCGCTTTGTAAGATGACGTAAATACTTAAATTCAATTTCGCTAAACTGCGCGAAAATTTAGTAATGTTCCATCGTTTGAGGAAATTTATTTTCTTGGACTTAAATTGAAATATGTTGACTGTCTGGCTCTTAATTTCCGAATATCACTTTTAATGTATCAAGATTCAGAACTATAATTTACTTTAATATAAGTGTCATCTTATCGTTTATTGTGGTTTTTATAAAGCGCAGAGCAGCTTTAAAATCGGACGGCCATCCTGTTTTCACCAAGCTTCTTTTGGAGCTTAATATGGGTAGGGTAGTCTAGTTCTATAGGGTGAGAGCTTAATACCTTTTTAAAGGGCCGAATGTCTCAAGACAGCAAGCTTGCAGAAATAACTACGTACGTTTAAATGGACGAGTGATAAATGTGTTAGGGGCTGTTTAATGAACACCAACTTATGTTATCAAATTAAACGTCGCATAAGCGTCAAAATGGCAGTGCTTGTTTTTTTTTTATATAAAATTAGCCTAACGGTCGGCGGTACCGGTACATGACGTCACGTGCGAGCGTTAACTCGGTGACGATGTACTAAGTGGGGGAATGAAAAAGGTGGGGTTCAAGAAATGCGACTCAGCAAGCTTTTTACATTTCTTGACCCTTCTTAATAGTTCTATCGTCCCCACTGAGAAAATGGATCACCAATGAATGACGCGTCATACTTCTACAGCTGGTCTTTCTCCCACAACCATCCCCTGTTTTCGCGAAAAAAAAAAACCTGACCCGTCTCCAAAATCACATCGCTGAGTTCTACTCAACCTCTCCCCACCACAAATCACAATTTCTATCTGAAACAATATGTTCATATGTTTGTTCTGTAATAATGCACGCTGTCATTACTATCTTAAGAGCGACGTCACTTATGAGCGATCTAATATTGATTTGATTACTGCAAATAAAGTGTTCAAAAGTTCGACCTCCCAACAATTGTTGTGGTCTTGGATGCACACTATTAAGTCTGAAAAGGTCTATTAGTCAACTATATTGAAAAAGAAAAAAAATAATATACAGGGGGGTCATCCATAAATGACGGCACGTTTTTTGGACTATTTTTACCTCCCCCCCCCCTCCCCTCCGTCACACGTCGTCACAAAAAGCCAGACCCCCCCCCCCCCCCCCACTAAAATGACGTCACACCTCAGCCTACAACCTCCCTCAAAATTGCAGTTGAATTTTTTTTAAACAGCTATATTTTTCCAAAATCTTGTCTGAACTCTGTCAAAATAGAGTATTTTAATCAATTGTTACTACAATGTATTAAAACAGTTTTCTAAAACGCAAAATAACGTCTAAAATTCGTTTTCTAACTAACATTGCTTTTTTTATAATGCAAAAGCGTGACGTGGCACCATCTGAACCCCCCCCCCCCCTCCCCACACACCGTCAAAAAATTACGGACCCCCCCCCCCCTACGGGTGTGACGTCATTTATTGGCGACCCCCAGGCATATATTAAAACAATACAAAACAATCATATTAAACCACAAAATCAACACAAAAGACATGCGAATAGACAATTTTTCAAGGGAAACTACTCTATTATTGTTTTTGAAACATGGCCGCTGCTTGTATTTACTCATTGTTGTCTCGAACGGGGTAGTTTAAAGTTTATTCCAGGATATTTATGACTGGTTTGGTCTTGGATTGTGATTTGTTATTCAATTATCTGTTATATTATGTAAAATATGACATAAATATGGCCAAATGAAAGAAATATTCATTAGTTACCTTCATCGCTCATTACTAGCTACGTTGGAATTTACGACGCTAAACTAAGATTTTACCGATTTTAGACATACACAAGTGGTGACTAGTGTGACGTAGTGTCATACCATACATCATAGATCTAGATTTTAGTAGATATAGAACTTAGATAAATTCACTCAATGATCTTAACTTTTTTTTTCATTTTGGTAGCTTTGGATGTACCAAATTCTGAATTTGTTTTTTAAATTCAAAATATTTAATAATATTTATATTAAGACTTAGGATAGGTCACTTAGGCGGCTTAGGCTTAATATATAAAATTATATATTTTACTAGTAGATTCTATATAGTAAAAATATAGTAGTACACAAAATGAAATGTACTGTAACATCACTAGATCTATCACTATGTTCAAAAAACAAAACCTTTCATAAATATTGTTTCATTAAAGTATGATTTTCACACAAACAAAAACATAAAAATGAACATTTACTGCAAATAAGTGTGACATCTGCTGTTGCCTTTTACTTCTGACACCAGTTCAGAAATGCGCTGCTTGACCTTGAATTCAGCAAGTGTTGTGTCTTGTATTATCCATCTCAATTCAGCTTAAGGAAGTGTTCATTTAGTTTTGCTGGTGCTAGACTAGAATTGCTCTACTTTACCTGGCAAATCATGCAGTTAGGACTCCCATCAGGTTCAGTTATATGTGTGAATCTATACTGTACATATTCGTCTGACCACTTTCTTGTTTAGCTTGACATGGGCCTCGATTTAGAAAAAAATATGTTTAACACAATACGTGACCAATGTTCCACAATATAAATATCATGATACAAATTCCTGTTATCTTGCTCTAGCACACTTAGTAATATGTCATGCTGTCTTATTTAAACTGTCAATGGCTGCACCACGGGTTCTATCATCCGTACTGACAGAATCTGATTGCAAATCATATGAGTTTGGTGTGGATCTTGACCCCCACTGAGACTGACTTACCAAACCCAGAGAGTTTGATCAAACCCAGGTTAAGAACCACTCCCCTAGATTTAGAATTTTACAATATTTTTATTTTACAGTCAAGTTAAGATCCAAGAGTATAATTTTTTAAGTCATAGATATTAATAAGTTAAATTAGAATTTGGAACTTAAATAACTAATGTTTACAAAAATTGAGCCTATAAGACCATAGCCCTATAAACAATATGAGACTCCTGGGTAAAGAAGGTTTGATGAGGATAGGGGAGAGTGGGGTATTCAGGCCTGTGCGATGACATTTTGAGTGACTTCAGCATTGTGTGATTTCATAAAATAATTTTTAACTGCTCTGTTGCGTTATTAAAAGACTGTTTTTGTAAATTTTAGAAGAAGTTGATTTATTGATTCTTTGTAAAAGCGGAGTTCACATGTTTCTGTGACCTCAGCACACAAAGAGATAATGTGGTCTGTGTGAAGTCCTGTTTTAATTGCAAGTGTGGAAAATGAAAGCACACATAAAAAAATCTTGTAGCCCTACATGTGGCGCTGCTGAAATAACTTCATAATACAAACAAAAATAATTAAATACATTTAACTACAATAAAAACATCAACTTTTCTGTTTATCTTTATTATTGCTTAAGATTTATTGATTTAAAAAGAAAAACACATACATCTTCTAGATTTCTCAAGATGGCAATTAAAATATATTCTATAATGAGCTTTGATAAGCCAAAGTCATATCATCTACATGGGTCATTAAAGTTTAATAGTTTAATTTAAACTATTTTTTTTTTCAGGTGGAGGCACTGGCTTCATAGGCAGGTATGTGGCCAAGTTGGGTGCCAGAAAGGGTTTCAAGGTCATTTCTGTTTCACGCAAAGCTGGGCCCAACTGCCTAACTTGGGTGAGTTAGGTGAATTATTTGTGACTGAAGTTGGTGAATTATTTTGTGTGGTGAATTATTTTGTGAGACTGAAGTTGGTGAATTGTTTTGTGAGACTGAAGTTGGTGAATTATTTTGTGAAACTGAAGTTGGTGAATTATTTTGTGAAACTGAAGTTGGTGAATTATTTTGTGAGACTGAAGTTGGTGAATTATTTTATGAGACTAAAGTTGGTGAATTATTTTGTGAGAGTGAAGTTGGTAAATTATTTTGTGAGACTGAATTTGGTGAATTATTTTGTGAAACTGAAGTTGGTGAATTATTTTGTGAAACTGAAGTTGGTGAATTATTTTGTGAGACTGAAGTTGGTGAATTATTTTATGAGACCAAACTTGGGTAAAATATTTTTTATCCTATTAAACTTGTGTGACTGTATAGTGTAAAATGTGTTCAAACATTTGTGACTCTTAACATTGTTAAAGTTTTCAAATGCTGTGCAAGGACAGATGAAAAATAGCTACTTTGACGAGTGGAATTAATTAGGGTCCATCTTGTTTCTAGAATGACGTCAGCCGTGCTGGACTGCCAGATGACTGTGTGGCAGTTGTCAGTATGTCAGGGGAGCCCATCCTACAACCATTCAAAAGGTAAAGGGTATTTTTCTTCTTCTTCTTCGTTCTTAATTTTTAGTGTTGGAAGGGATCGAGCCTTATCTGCCAGAGGGTTTGAACTTGAGACTTTTTGGAATTTATCAACCATGATCTTTTTGCCGACTCGACCATGCCTACATCACAATTAAGGTTACATGTCTACTGGTTATGCGCCATTGAGGCCATTGACTCCGATTTCAACCTGCTTTTCTTTTTGGATTTGCTTCCATAGCCTTTGTCCAACCAAGAACAAACTACAAGGCAGCAGTTGTTGTTTGAATTTGGACAGGATATTTTAATTAATTAAAGCTAACGAGGTGGAGAGGAAGTTAGATCACGCTGTTTTGATAGGGTGTCATTGTCTAGTGGTACTAGCTCACACATCAAGTCAACAAGGTGTCCCTTGACTGCAATCAAGTCAACAAGTCATCCCTTGACTGCAATCAAGTCAACAAGCCGTCCCTTGACTGCACTATGGGCCCTCACCTTCCAGGTGGTAGGTGGTAAAAGCCAGGTGGAGACAAACAGACCTGGTGTGAGAAATACAGGATTCTGTATCATGTTGAATGCTGAGCATTGATCTAGCTGGTTAGGTCCTTGTTAGAGAGACTTTAATAAAGTTTAAACATAGAGCTGTCAGACCACTGTGTCAAGGCCGTGATTTTGTCCAGGTTATATTTGGTTGATTGGTGTGATAGGGACCTGGAGCCCAGTCCAGCTCTATTGGGTACCTGGCTGATCTGGGAAACAGAGTCATCATAGCATGGATGATGTAGTTTGTTTATTTGTTGTTATAGATGGACAGAAGAGATGAAACACATTATCAAAGAAAATATTGATGATGTAATTTATTCATTAATTATTACAGGTAGACAGAAGAGATGAAATAGATCAGCAAAGAAAACATTGATGATGTAATTTGTTCATTAATTGTTATAGATGGACAGAAGAGATGAAACAAATCATCAAAGAAAACATTAATGATGTAATTTATTAATTAATTGTTATAGATGGACAGAAGAGATGAAACACATTATCAAAGTAAACATTGATGATGTAATTTATTAATTAATTGTTACAGGTGGACAGAAGAGATGAAACAAATCATCAAAGAAAACATTAATGATGTAATTTATTAATTAATTGTTACAGGTGGACAGAAGAGATGAAACAAATCATCAAAGAAAGCCGAGTGGATAAGACGAAGTTGTTGAGACAGGCCATCACATCATCCACAAAACCTCCAAAAGTTTTTGTCTCTTTCTCTGGGATAGGTAACTTTTTTAATGTTGTTATTTTACCTACTAAATCTACTTTTTCAATGCTGTTATATTACCCACTTAATCTACTTTTCAATGTTGTTATATTACTTACTATATCTACTTTTTCCATGATGTTATTTTTTGTTATTGATCCAGTAATCTACTTTTCCAATTTTGTTATTTTGTTATTGACCCACTTAATCTACTTTTCCAATTTTGTTATTTTGTTATTGATCCACTTAATCTACTTTTCCAATTTTGTTATTTTGTTATTGATCCACTTAATCTACTTTTCCAATTTTGTTATTTTGTTATTGATCCACTTAATCTACTTTTCCAATTTTGTTATTTTACCCACTAAATCTATTTGTTAGTTTTTTTTTTACCCCCTAAATTTACATTCCTAATATGGATAATTTACCCACCTAATCTAGCATACCTATACTACATAAACTAGTTATCTCCCTTTTATAACAAGCCCATTCCTTGTACTGGACCTCCTGATACCATTCCTGCTACAGTTTGATATTTTGTTCCTACAACATGCAGACATTTCAAGATTTTTTTAGATGATTTACCTCACCATCTGCTAATGTCCCGCCCCCCATCCTCCTGTCATGCCCAGCCTGCTACAAGCCCCACCTCACACGTGAGTACACTGAGCTCGATCAAGTGGAACCGTATGACTTCCTCTCTCAGCTGACCCGGGAGTGGGAGGATGCTGGCAGATTACCTGAGGGCGGTCCCACACGATCTGTCATACTCAGGACAGGTGAGTCGTCTGTCATAGACAGGTGAGTCGTCTGTCATAGACAGGTGAGTCGTCTGTCATAGACAGGTGAGTTGTCTGTCATAGACAGGTGAGTTGTCTGTCATAGACAGGTGATAGACAGGTGAGTTGTCTGTCATAGACAGGTGAGTTGTCTGTCATAGACAGGTGAGTTGTCTGTCATAGACAGGTGAGTTGTCTGTCATAGACAGGTGAGTCTGTCATATGTGAGCTGTCTGTCATAGACAGGTGAGTTGTCTGTCATAGACAGGTGAGTTGTCTATCATAGACAGGTGAGTTGTCTGTCATAGACAGGTGAGTCTGTCATATGTGAGCTGTCTGTCATAGACAGGTGAGTTGTCTGTCATAGACAGGTGAGTTGTCTATCATAGACAGGTGAGTTGTCTGTCATAGACAGGTGAGTTGTTTATCATAGACAGGTGAGTTGTCTGTCATAGACAGGTGAGTTGTCTGTCATAGACAGGTGAGTTGTCTGTCATAGACAGTGTGAGGGTGTCAGGAATCCCAAAGAAAGCACAACACGATACTATCATAGAATTCTTTATTTCACCATCTCCCGTCCTCCAGTCACAAAATACACCTCCTTGCTTTTACACTCAACCTTCAACTGCCGTCCGCATTCATCCCTACACACCACCTTTCTCTCGCTCACAACACAGCCACTGTCACCCGACCAGTCGCTTCCCTTGTACCCTCGTTCACTCCGTACAACAACATACACATCAACACACCCGGCCTCGCGTCTCACTACATGCTACATACACACACTCAGTGATCCGTTCCACGTATTCACCGTTCATACACATTACATCACCACATACCCTCCATCTGTCCCTAGCTGATGCAATCAGCGGAATTAACAAGAAAAAAACGAATAACTCAACACAATATGTATATATACAAAACTACGATGTTAACAGTTTCAATGGGACTGCTAAGTGGTCCCTCCAAAGACTTTCCGTAAGTCTGTAGTACACAGAATAGACGCACCATATCAGACTTGTACTCTGTAAAATACATCTAGTACAAAAACATAGCATCATGTACATATTACATTCCAGAAAATAGCTACATAGTAACCCTGTATAGAACATTTGAAATAGGTTTAAAAATCACACACAAACGACAACCGATCGTTGACTCGGCACCACCAGTAGCATACTTTTGTTGGGTACAATCCACCTTCAGTTTCTGTAAGAATATCATCATTTACATTTCTCGTATATAACAATTAACAATATACATACATACGACAAAAAACCTTAACAAAAAGGATACCGGTACTTGTTTTAAACTTTGGATACGACGTCAATTTTTCTCTCCTTCGGTACAACTTGTCGAAAGACGCCATGCTACATAATGTATATTGTAAAACAAATGTCTTACACGTGTGTTGTCTCACCGCCGTCTTGTTGTGTGCTCCGTCCCAGACTGTGACCAGATCAAATCTCACCTTACCGCTGCATTAGAATGATAGTTTTGTGGTATGGTCTCTCTCTCGATATCATTCCCGATGATTGCGTCGAATGACCCCCGTTCGAATACTAAAGCTCGTACTTGTCCCGTCACATACGGTGATTTAATGTTTATCAGTGCTATCGGTAGGCGTATGACCGTGCCACCAAACACCTCTACCATTTTCCATTCACCCGTGTATTGGTGCTGTTCGACGTAGCTACTTTTTACAGCAATAGTAGAGCACCCCGTGTCTCTCACCTCCTCTACCGTATGAGCTCCCACATTCACCATTAGCGTTGGTATTTTCGGTGCGATCTGTAGTAACGGTGCTTGTTCTACTCCCTCATTATCTGGGCTACTGTTGTGGCCGTTGTAATCATTGTTATGATTTCCGTCCTGCCTCGGTCTACGTTGTTGGCTGTAATAACTGTGTGCCGCATGAGTGTTTGTGTCTCTGAGGTATTCCTGACCCGCAGCCTGATTATTGCCCCCAACGTTTGAATGTCTATGCGGACAGTTCCTAATCATGTGACCCTGTTGTTGGCAGTTGAAACACCTCCCAACGTATCTTGTGCCGTTGGTTTGTGTTCCATATCTCCTTGGCCGTCGATTGTCATCTCTGTAGTTTCCTGCCTCTAGACCAACGTACTCCGCTGTACCGCCTGTCGCCTTCGCATAGAAGATTGATTCATACTCTGATTCTTTGTTAGCTATTGGTCTATCCGTGTGTGCAATGATGTACTTTTGGCAGTGGTCAGTGAGGTCTTTTAGGGTGGTGGGCTTTCTTTCCTGTATGTAACTTAGTAGCTGCTTATCTACTGAATTCAATACTTTGTCTATCAAAATGAATTCAATTATATTCTCAACTTTCATCTCCACTCTAGCCGTTTCTAGCCACTTCATAAACGTGGTTTTTAGATCCAGCACGTAGTTTTTGAAGTCCTCAGCTTTAGATGGTAGTCTGTTGTGGAATTTTTTCCTATACGAGTCTTCATTATGTAAGAAGAACTCAAGGAGGGTTTCCTTTAATATTCTGTAGTCCTTCATGTCATCCTCACTCAGGCCCTGACATGCATCCAATGCCTTCCCTCCTATTAAGACAAGGAGTTGAGTTCCCCACTGCGTATCGCTCAAGCTTGTCGTCCTCGCCACTGTCTCGAATCTCCTGATGTACGCATCTATGTTTTCCGAATCTTCATGAAATTTCGGCAACTTTGATAGGATATTTTGATGGCTCACGTCTAAGTGTGGTATGTCTTTCATACCTTCATGCTTCATTCGTGCCAGCTCGATTTTCTGCTCCTGCTTCATCCTTTCGAGTTCTATCTTCATTTTTTCGTTCTCTATCCTTGCTTCTGTCTCCATCTTTTCTTGTTCCATCTTCATTCTTTCTCTTTCCCTTCTGCACCATCTGTCCCTCCTTTCTTCATTCTCATTCAGTCTTTTCTCCACCCACTCGTCCAACTTCTCTCCCTCGTATCCGTTGCTTCTACCCAGGCTATACATCTCTGGCAAACTAACTGGTCCCTCCATGTTTCTGTTAGATAATTTATTTAATTCACAAATTCAAAAAGCGCCACTTACAGGAGGTCTGTTGGTACGACAGGAGATACACGTCTATTACCCAATTGTGGGTGCCGCTGCTCCACCAAATATGTGAGGGTGTCAGGAATCCCAAAGAAAGCACAACACGATACTATTATAGAATTCTTTATTTCCCCATCTCCCGTCCTCCGGTCACAAAATACACCTCCTTGCTTTTACACTCAACCTTCAACTGCCGTCCGCATTCATCCCTCCACACCACCTTTCTCTCGCTCACAACACAGCCACTGTCACCCGACCAGTCGCTTCCCTTGTACCCTCGTTCACTCCGTACAACAACATACACGTCAACACACCCGGCCTCGCGTCTCACTACATGCTACATACACACACTCAGTGATCCGTTCCACGTATTCACCGTTCATACACATTACATCACCACAGACAGGTGAGTCTGTCATAGACAGGTGAGTTGTCTGTCATAGACAGGTGAGTTGTCTGTCATAGATAGGTGATAGACAGGTGAGTTGTCTGTCAAAGACAGGTAAGTTGTCTGTCATAGACAGGTGAGTTGTCTGTCATAGACAGGTGAGTTGTCTGTCATAGACAGGTGAGTTGTCTGTCATAGACAGGTGAGTTGTCTATCATAGACAGGTGAGTTGTCTATCATAGAAGGTGAGTTGTCTGTCATAGATAGGTGAGTTGTCTGTCATAGACAGGTGAGTTGTCATAGACAGGTTTAATATATGTCATATATCTGTAGATTATAGACAGTGCTAAAGCCACTTTATCCATTATGCCCTGGCCACCAGTTGTTGATCTAGTTTAGAGACAAGAATAAGTCAAGATCTAGTTGTACGCTTGCTTCAGACATGTGTACAAAGATCTAGTTGGTCACTTGCTTTAGACATGTGTACAAAGATCTAGTTGGCCACTTGCTTTAGACATGTGTACAAAGATCTAGTTGGCCACTTGCTTTAGACATGTGTACAAAGATCTAGTTGGCCACTTGCTTTAGACATGTGTACAAAGATCTAGTTGGCCACTTGCTTTAGACATGTGTACAAAGATCTAGTTGGCCACTTGCTTTAGACATGTGTACAAAGATCTAGTTGGCCACTTGCTTTAGACATGTGTACAAAGATCTAGTTGGCCACTTGCTTTAGACATGTGTACAAAGATCTAGTTGGCCACTTGCTTTAGACATGTGTACAAAGATCTAGTTGGCCACTTGCTTTAGACATGTGTACAAAGATCTAGTTGGCCACTTGCTTTAGACATGTGTACAAAGATCTAGTTGGCCACTTGCTTTAGACATGTGTACAAAGATCTAGTTGGCCACTTGCTTTAGACATGTGTACAAAGATCTAGTTGGCCACTTGCTTTAGACATGTGTACAAAGATCTAGTTGGCCACTTGCTTTAGACATGTGTACAAAGCTTACTACAACCCATCTGGTTACTCTAATAACCCATTACCCAGACAGTGCAGACTCAGAATAGACTGTTTGCCCTTTAAATAACACCGGCAGAATGACATATCATGTGGCAGTTTTTTTTAAATTTCATATCATTAATAATAAAAAGATTTTAAAAATATTTTTACACTGTCAATTTTCTCCCGCAGGTATTGTTCTAGGGAATGAGGGCGGAGTTATCCAGAATATCAAACTGCCATTTTCTCTGGGACTTGGTGGCCCCATGGGCTCTGGGAAACAATGGTTTCCATGGATACACGTAGAGGACCTGGCTGGCATAGTCTTGCATGCCATAGAGAACGACCAGGTGACAGGTGTGCTCAACGGCACCTCCCCCAACCCTGTCCTCAGCCAGGAGTTCACCAAGGCCTACGCCTCCGCCCTCCACCGCCCCCACTTAATCCCCCTGCCCAGTTTTGTGGTGAGTACTGTGTTTGGGGCCGAGGCCGGGCCGGTACTGCTGGATGGCCAGAAAGTTTTGCCTAAAAGAACTCTGGAGTCAGGCTACAGGTTCCAGTACCCCACAGTCCAGGCTGCCTGCAAGCAACTCGTCTCCTGAGGGTACATGTCTGTCTGGCATCATCTTGGTCAGGCAAAGATCTTTGGGGTGGCATCATCTTGGTCAGTCAAAGATCTTTGGGATGGCATCATCTTGGTCAGGCAAAGATCTTTGGGATGGCATCATCTTGGTCAGGCAAAGATCTTTAGGATGGCATCATCTTGGTCAGGCAAAGATCTTTAGGATGGCATCATCTTGGTCAGTCAAAGATCTTTGGGATGGCATCATCTTGGTCAGGCAAAGATCTTTAGGATGGCATCATCTTGGTCAGGCAAAGATCTTTGGGGTGGCATCATCTTGGTCAGGCAAAGATCTTTGGGGTGGCATCATCTTGGTCAGTCAAAGGTCTTTGGGGTGGCATCATCTTGGTCAGGCAAAGATCTTTGGGGTGGCATCATCTTGGTCAGTCAAAGATCTTTGGGATGGCATCATCTTGGTCAGGCAAAGATCTTTAGGATGGCATCATCTTGGTCAGGCAAAGATCTTTGGGGTGGCATCATCTTGGTCAGTCAAAGGTCTTTGGGGTGGCATCATCTTGGTCAGTCAAAGGTCTTTGGGGTGGCATCATCTTGGTCAGGCAAAGATCTTTGGGGTGGCATCATCTTGGTGATACTAAGACCTTTGTGGTGCAAAGATCTAGGTGCTATTATGAACTTGATATCATGATCTTGGTGAAGCCATGATTTGGGATGAAACAGAGACCTTGATATTCCCAAATTTTACTGATATTATTAACTGGAGTTTGCATTGTAGATTTTATTTTGTTGTAAACTGTTTGTGTAGTTGTAGGCCTACAGTTGTTTGGTTGGCTGTTGAGTTAGTGGTCAAGTTGTTTGGTTGGCTGTTGAGTTAGTGGTCAAGTTGTTTGGTTGGCTGTTGAGTTAGTGGTCAAGTTGTTTGGTTGGCTGTTGAGTTAGTGGTCAAGTTGTTTGGTTGGCTGTTGTGTTAGTGGTCAAGTTGTTTGGTTGACTCATGAGTTAGTGGTCAAGTTGTTTGGTTGGCTGTTGAGTTAGTGGTCAAGTTGTTTGGTTGACTCATGAGTTAGTGGTCAAGTTGTTTGGTTGACTCATGAGTTAGTGGTCAAGTTGTTTGGTTGGCTGTTGAGTTAGTGGTCAAGTTGTTTGGTTGGCTGTTGAGTTAGTGGTCAAGTTGTTTGGTTGGCTGTTGAGTTAGTGGTCAAGTTGTTTGGTTGGCTGTTGAGTTAGTGGTCAAGTTGTGTGGTTGGCTGTTGAGTTAGTGGTCAAGTTGTTTGGTTGGCTGTTGAGTTAGTGGTCAAGTTGTTTGGTTGGCTGTTGAGTTAGTGGTCAAGTTGTTTGGTTGGCTGTTGAGTTAGTGGTCAAGTTGTTTGGTTGGCTGTTGAGTTAGTGGTCAAGTTGTGTGGTTGGCTGTTGAGTTAGTGGTCAAGTTGTTTGGTTGGCTGTTGTGTTAGTGGTCAAGTTGTTTGCCAGTGGCTACTGTGTTAGTGTAAACTACTTTATGGCAGACGAGTGACTCTATAGAGCAGAAATAAGCGAGGTGAATGTGTAGATTGGCTCAAGTTTTTTTTGTTTACTTAACTAACAAAATTCTCTGAATGAATATAACTTGACTTCAGAACTTGACATAGCAAGTATACTTGACATGTAAAAGTAGATTGCAGAAACTTGTTACAAAATTGACAAGTGAAATTTGATTGTCCAAAAAAAGTGTACGACCTTTAATAGGCTTGAGATCTCATTGTCTTTTTATGGTACTAATTAATCAATGATCGTTTTTAATTGTATTACCCAGTGGCGTAGCGAGGTCGGGTGTCACCCGGTGCGGCACTTAATGGTGTCACCCCCCAGAGGCGTTGCGACCCTTCCCGGGGACAAACTTTCCAGTTTTTGATTTGCACCCCCCCTTCCCCTCAAAATTTCGATTTGCACCCCCCCTCAAGTTTTTCTCTATAAATTTTGCTATTTTTTGCCTTGGTGTCACCCCCCTAAATGGTGTCACCCGGTGCGGTCCGCACCCCCCGCCCCCCCCCCCCCCCCCTCGCTACGCCCCTGGTATTACCTATTTATAATTAAAGATAATGCAATGTAGATTTGTGATTTTTTTTTATCTATATATATATAAAACAATGTATGTGTGTGTATGTTTGTCTTGTATGCATTACTACACCTTTCATCACATCGCCATGAAACTTTGGGAAGTTGTTGAGAACACTCCAAGGGAGGTTCCTGCGGGGGAAAAATATTTCAAATTCGCAGCGGTGGCGCCCCGGCAAGGCGCGATTTGATTCTTCTCTATATACGCGATATTTAAAAAAATTAAACAGTCAATTGCTATTTGACATCGTTCATCCGAACGTCAAGAAACTTTATTGATTAGAACACTCCAGGGGAGATTTCTGCTACAATTTTTTTTTTAAATTTCATCAGAGCGGTGCCCAGGGAGTGTGCGATTTTCCTCTATATTATTATAAGGTATATATTTTAAAAAAAGTCGGACGTGGCTGGACACCGTTCATCTGAACATCATGAAACTTTGGGGAGTTGATGAGAATACTTCTGGGAAGGTTTCTGCGAAAATAAAATTCAATTTCTCAGGAGCGGCGCCTCGGCAGGGTGCAATTTTGCGCCCCGGTTTATCCTGGTAGCGTTATGGCGCATACGTTCGTTTTAAAGAGTGTGATAGAACATAAATATGAAGTAGTATTATAGTCGCTCACTAAACAAACAGGCGCGGGGTTGGTGTTTGTAGGGATGGATTAGAGTTTTTGTTTGTAAAGATTGTTTGGCTCGTGTAAATATGAGATATGATTTAATTTGAATACACAATAATTTGAAAATGACATGAGTTATATGTTTGGGATTAGAATAGACAGGCAGTGGAATGATGTTTGGGGGTTGTCCTTAAATGATGTCACACTCCCTCCTAGTGGTGGAGAGAGGGTCAGAATTGTATGGTGTGTTACATAGGGTGGGCAGGGGATGGCAGGGTTCAGTCACTTGTATTTTTTAAAAGTAATGTTATAAGCTGTATTCATGTTTGTTTTAGAAAGTTGTGTTAGTAAAGAGTATGAGAAGTAGATTCTTATACTGTTGACGAAGTTCAGCAAATATTTAAAAGAGTTCGATGTTTTACTTTTATTGTAATGGATTGGAAACACTGACGAGAAGCCGCGTTGGTTGTTAACAAGCCTTTATTCAGCCATGATGGAAGAGAGAGAGAGGAAGTGACGAGAGACAACTATATATAAACAAATAAGGGACATCACTCAAGATAACAGTATAAATATAATACTAATACAAGAAGAGTGAGTTCCCTTGACTTCACAAGTCTCACTATATTACATCCCTTTACCCTTAGTAAACACAACACATCTCTCAATAGAACAATTTACAGTATCCTAAAATCACCAATTATATTGTAACATGAACACTATGGTAGATTACATCCTTACAAACAATGCACAATATGTTACAACATAATTAAAATACAAAACAATGATGTCAAAGTCCTTTTGACCTTTAAAATCATAGGTCTAACTTATTTGGGACTTTGATTGTCCTGCTTGACCTTCTCAGTGGCTTTTGATTTGGTGACTCAAGATTCTGACCATATGGATTCTCTATCTCAGGAGGTCTAGGATTTAAATCATTAACTCCAGAATTTACATTTCCTGACTCTAGACAACCTGGTTCACTCATATCAACAGAACTTGGTTGTGGAACAAACTGAGTTGGTGTGAACTGATCAGATTTGGTGGGATTGATAGATTCACACTTATTATCTGCACAAGTTATTTTTAACTGGTCTGCATGTCTACGGACAATAAGTCCATCATTTGTTTTTACTTTATAAGACACAGGTCCTGTACATTGAACAATGTGACCTGGTATCCATTTTTCCTTTCTCCCATAATTTCTTAGATACACATTATCATTAAATCCAAATTCTCTTTCAATGGATGTCTTGTCATGATTTAATGGAACTATTTTTGAATTGGCATCTGGAAGTATTATGCTGTTATTCAGATCCTTAACTGACATAGATTTCTTTGATTGATCAATTTTCTCAGGTAATCTGATAGTGCTTTTTAGTAACCAAAAATACTGTTTAAAAGTACTATCCTGGACCATATCAATTTGCAACTGTGATCCAGTATTTGAAGTGGGTGTATTAAATGGCAAAAATCTTTTTTTCTTTTGATGTTACCCTTTTAGTTTCTGTAAGTGCTAATGATGTTAGCAAAGTTGTTTGATGATCACATTCCTTCTTACTAATGTATTCTCTTTTAAAAGAATTTGAAATTGCCATATCACCATAATCATTTATTAAGTTACAAATACTTTGTTTAGGCAACTCTGACTGATAATGGACTGCATCTTCTCCATCTTTTAGACTTAATTCCATTTTTACAGTACTCATATACTTTTATTAAGCACTCATCTTTTTGTGTTTCTCTTTTAATATCATTCACATTTATATTGGAGTTATCCATGATAGTGAAGAGAACAAATACATCTTCTGGTACATAGCTAAGGCTTTGGTTTTTTAAAGGTAATCTACTAAGACTATCTGCACTATTCTCAGATCCAGGTTTGTATTTCAATTCATAATTGTATGCGGCTAGTGTGATAGCCCATCTTTGAATTCTTGGTGAGGCATGCTCAGGTAGGGTTTTGTTTTCTCCAAATAAACCTAGCAATGGTTTATGATCTGTAAAGATGGTGAACTTCCTACCAAACAGAAACTTATGAAATTTCTTAACACCAAAAATGATGCCTAAGCCTTCCCTATCTAACTGAGAATAATTTTTCTCAGCCTGGTTCAAAGATCTACTGGCAAAAGCAATGGGTCTGTCACCCTTTTTATCTACGTGGGACAAGACTGCTCCTACACCATCTGGTGAAGCATCACATGTTAATATAAGTCTTTTCCCTGGGTCATAGTGAGTTAGTAAGGTGTCAGAAGACAAAGCTTCTTTTGCTGTATTAAAAGCAGATTCTTGTTGTTTACCCCAGTGCCAAGTTGCATTTTTCTGCAGCAGCTTGTACAGTGGTGATAGTTTACCAGACAGATTCCCTATGAACTTCGCATAATAATTTATCAAGCCCAAAAAAAGCTCTTAGTTGTTGGGTATTTTCAGGTTTGGGTGCTTCTTTAAT